CCAAGTGAAGCTGAGAGAGGCACAGAGCCGACAGAAGGCCTACGCTAACAAATGTAGAAGGGAGCTTGAGTTTGAACAGGGAGACAAGGTGTTCCTGAAAGTCACGCCGATGAAGGGCGTTGTACGATTCGGGAAGAGGGGGAAGCTGCAGCCCTAATTCATAGGGCCTTTCAATATCCTCAAACGAGTTGGCGTAACAGCCTACCGTCTGGCGTTACCCCCAGAGCTATCGGGGGTACACAACGTCTTCCACGTGTCGATGTTGAGAAAGTATGTGTACGACCCGAGCCACGTAGTGAACTTTGGCGAGTTAGAGGTCGGGAAAAACCTAATGTATGTTGAGCAGCCAGTAGCAGTCCTGGACCGAAACGTTCCGCGACTAAGAAACAGAGAGAGGCCGAGATTAGAGCTCGTTATCCAGATTTCGAGTTTTGAGTTGTATCAATTGTATATATGTATTTTTATTTTATATTTTGTACATAGTTTTGTAGTAGGAGTTCTGGCCTAGCACCTTAGTTTTGTATTTCTGAGGACGGAAATATTTCAAGGAGGACAGGTTGTAACGCCCCGATCAGTTATAATATAAGAACGATTTCACTTGCTCGACTTTAAAGTGAAAGCGGTAATTTTCAGTTTTCTGAGTTATTTGATTTAAGTGTTATTATTACATGATTATGTGAAATTATGTGTTTAAAGGCCTTATGATCATTTATATATGTTATATTATTCGGTTATTAAGTTCGAAATATTTTCGTTCGAACCGAACCATTGAACTCTAGCGCAGTGACCTAGTCGCGCGTTCGCCGTGCTAATGCCCTGAGCCACCGAATCCTTAGACCGTGAACCCTAGACTTATTATGACCTTGGCCTCGCCTTTAATGTCTTAAGAAGGGCTTTGATCATACCAAGTGCCGAGTTCATGCATAGCACCGCGGCCACTCGTGTGCACGAGCCCCTTCCATTCTAGCCGAGCCTTAGCCTTTGAACCATGCCTTAGCCTTTCATTTCCTTCTAGGCTGGTCTTATACGTGTGATTTAGATGAAATTTAGAGGATGTTATTATCCTAATCAATCTAAGTGAGGGTCATTAGGTCCTAAGCAAGCTTAACCATTATTCTATGACTTAACTAGCATGGGCTTACATTTTTAATTCATGTGTGTAAGAAAATGTCTCCCCTCTACTTCTTTAATGCTTAAACCAAAGCTTTCTCCAGCCTTTCTTATCCATTAAGCTCGGCCATAATCAGTCCTAGGTGCTCTCAAAGAGATTCCCTTACACACATGCATTTTGAGAAGGATTCCACAAGATGTTGTCCTCCATGACCTTGCATACTTTCTCAAGTCTTTTGACCTGATAAAAGTCCCCTCCTTAGCTACCTATTCTCCTCATTTGAACCTCAGAATGCACTTAGTATTTGAGAGAAAAATCGCTCATAGCACCTAAGTATAGAAAGAAAACCGAGAGCAACATTCTAATGCCGAGAGTGAGTCCCTTGTACCCGAGTCCATTTGTTTGTATTGTGAGTGAATTCTAGCTGAGCTCTCTCCACACCAACAGCATTATATCCTCCTCCTCTCATCCCTCTCTTACCCTAATCGAGTTGGAAGGCTTCAAAGTTCAAGAAAAATCAATTTTTCAAGCTACAAAGCCGCAGCAACAAGAACCGAACGAGAACTGAGCATACCGAGTTCCTTTGCACTTTTCGTGAAGTTTTAGAGCTTAAGGAGAGTTGAGCCTCAGACAGCTACCCTAGTTTTCAGCACTTGCGTTAGATATATTTTAGTATACCAGCTGGGGGTCATGTACTGAATTCTACATCATCTATAATATCTGTACCATGACTGAGGTATGTTCGAGATAGTTAGTTCTCCCAGGTGAGAGGCCCACGGTGAGCGGGCCGAGGCCTTCCAAGATCCACCTGGTATCCAGCTGGGGCTTCGGCCTCAGTGTCTGGATGGTGTGCACACGAGCGGCCGAGGGCCGAGGGTCGACAGACCAAAGTTTAAGAAAAGAAAAGAAAAGTTTACAGTTCAGCTATTATATATTGATGCTCATGATATGTTATTATTAATGCTTTTTATTCAGTACTGGTCTTCCGGAGCATAGTGGTTTGCTCACGCCCCCATTGTGTTTTTCAGATGACGGAGTCGAGCGTGCCAGGTGAGCATATGCGTGGCAAGCGTGATCATGATAGTCGAGGACATTTTTACCTACATTTTATGTTCTAGTTTTTATGATCATGTATTATTCGGATATGTATGCATGTATTCTGTATTTCGGATATGCTTCCGCTAGCTAGACTTAAACAGTGCGAGATATTCTGACGTTGCATGTGTGATTCCATTCTCCGTAGCGGATTGATTGATTGCATGTTTTATTTATGCCTGTGAGTAAGTAAGTTTTACCTGTGACATCCTGCAATAAGTTAGTTTTTCGAAACCAGCTCGCACGACCTTTCAAAAATAAAAGCGAAAATTTTACTTTGATTTTTCAAAGCTAGTAAGGCGGGGTGTGACAGATTCCTTTTCCGTTAGGATGACATACTCATTAATTTGGTAAGTAAGAGTGTTTAAATGATGTGCCGTTATAAATTATTTACAGTCACTATGTCCCAGTGCGCTGGGTTGATTACGTCTCCGAAATGAGCTCAGAAAGAAATATTATGTCAAACCCTGTAGGTGGATAATTCTCCGCCATAACGATTAATGAACTGAGTGGTACTGATTTCGAAAATGAAAGAAGTCAATTTAATTTAATTGCCAGTAATTAAATTAATTGATGGACGTTATATCTTAAATATAGGGAGGTAAATCGGTCAATTAGATTTATATTAATTAATCATTTGGAGGTTTGATTTATTGAATAAATTGGAGCTAAAGGGGAGAGCAATAATGTTACTCTAGTGGGATGTTTTATTATTTAATTCTAATTAGAATTTTAGGAATTAATTATATTCCATATTTTAGATTCCATTAGGAGAGAAATATTCCTTCTACAATATTACCTAGGGTTAGGAGACTATGCAGTCTTCTAGAAGGTAATAAAGGTTATGAGGAATAGGACTTCTAGATGGGATAGAACATGGAGCAAGATTAGGATTCCTAAGCCTAATGGGTAAGCCCATATTTAGCACCTCCTTAAGGTTTCTAATGGAGCCTATAAATACACTATGTCCAAACCTCTTCCCCTACTATTGATTGAGCTCGATTTTAAGGTTCCAGAAGGAAGAGGAAAATCGAGATCTTCATATATTCGAGAGTTCGAGAGTTTCAATTAATTTCACAACCATGATTAGTCAAAATAGGTGTGTAGGTAATCCATCAGAAGATCTTAAGGTGATATATCTCAAACCTTGAAGATCTTCTTTTTTTGGCCATCTTCCACCGCCGATAGCTGCCGTCCACAGCTGTCGACCGCCGTCGGAAATCGTTGTCGCCGCCGATGATCGCCTGAGTACAGCCGCGAGCCAGCACCCGCAGTCGTACGCCGCAAGGCCCAGCGCACGGTCACAGCATCGCTACCAGCGACGCCCCTCACGCAATCGTCTGTGTCCCCTGCGTGCCCGAATGCTTGTCGTGCACGCTGTAGGCCCGAGCACATTGCCCGCATCCCAATCCGCGCAGGAGAAGGCATCGCATCTCGCGCGCGACCCGCACGCACCAGAGCCCAGCGCCAGCACGCCTAGTCCGAGTCGGCGTACTAGACCCGCACCGCACGCGCCCGACGTCCCCGCATGGAACTTTTCAATATATAAAATAGAATGAGTACATTGGGTGTTTATAGGAGAAAATATATCTAGTCCTATGAAAACTATAATTCTAACCTATGGAAATAATATCTAGTCCTAAGGTAATTAAATGTCTTGCATCCCAATACTTACCAAATTATAGAATTCCTAACCAACTACACGGCTAAACTAAAATACTAACCTAACCAATCTAATTCTAACTCTACGCTAATTATTAATAAACTAACCTATCCGCCTAACTAATTAAATATATACTAACACACGGCTATACTAACAAACAAATCCTAACTAATCTAAATAACCTAACAATCTAAATGTCTCACGGCAATATATACATATATGCTAATCCTAACAATACTAAACAACTAACCTTACGCTAATAATAAAGTAATTTAAGACTAAATACATAATTAATCTAATTATAATCTTCTAGAAGCTTCACTCTTCAGCTCGCACGACTCGCCTCGTGTGTTCGTTCATCACGCCCACGCACGCCTCCGCGTGCTTCCTCGCGCGACCCGTTGCTAACTCCTGGGCTCGACCGGACCACTTTCGCTAAGCCCAGGCCCGTCCGTGCGTCTGCCCAGTGCGTGCGTTCATGTTGTGTCTTCGGTCCTCTCGCCGTGGCCGACCCTTGCGCGCTCAACCTTGTTGTGTTCGACGCCGCGTGCTCGTCATCAACCCGCTTGTGCTTGACTCTGCGAGCTTCGATCAATCGCTCGACTTGCTCGTTGCTCGACCACTTCTGCTCGACCCACGCATACTTGTAGATAGGTCGATCTTCGGAGCTCGAGGTTTCGCATCCACGAACCATTCGCGCGTACTCCATCTTCGCATGCACCAAGCATGTTCGCCTCGTGCGACCTTTCCCCGCGTGTGTCCACGGCTCACGTCGCCTTTCTCGTGCTTGACCGCATCGTATTCGAGCTCGCGCACGTCTTTTCGGCCATGCGCGCATTCTTTCGCCCTTTCGTGCGGTCTCGCCCGATCGCATCCACCATCGGCTCTCGGTGTGTTCGGGCCTCGAAATCCCCATCTTCATCACCACATATGTCCGCACGACCGCGGGTCCCAACCACCCGACGTGCACCATCCGCGAACAGAATCACCTGCTCATGCCCAGCCGCGACCAACCCGACCGAGACGTGACCAGCTGAAGATAGATCAAGCCTTGAAGATCTCCTCTTTTCCCAGACATCCACCGCCATCCGCCGTCGCCGGCAAGTCGCTAGAAATTGACGCCGCCGGAACCTAGCTAACGCCCAGCCGCACGCAACCAGTCGCTGGCACGAGCACCAGCGATGCCCCGCGAGATCCCAGCGACGCCCTGCCTTGATAGCACGCCATCGCCCGAGAACCTCGCGCACCGATCGAACGCGCGTGTCTAGCTGCTACCCGCGTTACTCGCTCGTGCGTAGACCTCGCCCAAGGCCTTCGACCGGCGCTTGTCTGCGTGAAGCTGTCAGCACCCAACCGCAACGCGCCTCACCAGTGACCCACACCACCTGTCCGCGACCTGTCCCGACTGGGATGAGCCCAGTCGAGCCGAGTGAGCCCAGTCGAGTCAGCCGAGTTTCGACCAAGTCAACTAGGTGAACCGAGCTCGATCCAACTGGCCCGAGCTCGACGAGCCCGATCCGGTGATCCGTTCGTGATTCAAGTGACTCTATCATAATCGAGAAAGGCCAAACCCGTCAGCCCATCGGGTTTTGGTATATCAGACGATCTCAATCAAAGGAAATCAGAAACGTCTCTGAGTCGGCAAAAAATTTTAAACGGTAATGTCCTAACCCTAACTATAGATTTTGCTGTGTTAGGGTTTATTTTGCCAAATTCAAACGTGCATGTTATTGTCGTCCCTAATAGAACCCAACAAGAATAGTATATCCGATTAAGAAATAGCTACATTATATTTAACGAATTTATTAACGAATTACAGAAAGCACCTAGCTTGACTAGAGTTCCGGTTTATATTTAACTCTTCGAAATTCTGGCTAGAGTTCTGATTTATTCTAGAGTTTGGACTTAGCTCAACTTTCTATAATTCTGACTAGAGTTTTCTTTTTCATCAAAGGATATATCTTATGCCCCGAAGATCTCATGTTATATGCTCATGCACTTGCAATAGTAAAACTAGTTTAGGTGACTTACCTCGTAGTCTGCGCGGTGTGAGCGTGGCGTGGTCATGCTTTTCTAACACTTTTCAAGTACACAGAACCGCTAACTGCTCTGATAACAAACTGTAACACCCCGCTGTCTTTCACTAGACTTTTAAAAATCAGAGTTAAATATTTACTTTTTATTTTTGAAAAACGCTAACTTTATTTTCAAAAATACTATTACTGACTCGCGGGGTGCTACTCAAAACTCTTTTACTTTTCTTATCTCTTTTTCTCATCAAACAGAAAAATAATAATACATCCGACCTAATCGAATCCATTTAAATACGGTACCTTGGAGATAAAGGCATTACCCATGCAGAAGTCTCAAGTTCTCATACGGGGTCTGAATATGCGGAAGCTAAAATATATTAAATACATGTATAGTAATAATCCGGTGGCCGGGTGTCGCGGGTCATGTCACGATCTGCTCGGCTCCTCACGGCGGCGCACCGTCGGCTGGCGTGGGCTCACGGCTGCTGTTCGGTGCTCATGGTAGTTGGTCGGTTGTCGTCGGGTCTCCAATAGATGATCACGGGGTCTCGATTACCTATGTATCTTCTACTGTATTACTCAAACACCCTTCTTCAACTTGTACCAGTAGAGCAACAAGAAGAAGATAAAGCTCGAATGAGAGCTGAGAGAGAGATGAGAGGGGGCAGGCGTTATTCACGTGAATAATGATATCTATCTCTTCTCATGAGCTTAATAACGTATATATAGAGCTACAGTAGGGACACTTAGGAGATTAGGAGTAGGGCTTCTTAATTAATTAGACTAACTGTGGGCCAAGCCCACTCCTCTAATTAATTAAATAATATTATGTGCCACCAACATAAATATTAATGCACTCCCTTTTCCTAGTCCAAATTACATTTGAGACTCCAATTATAATTACTCGATTTACCTCCCCACGTTTAAGATATAATGTCCATCAATTAATTCGATTACTGACAATCAAGAATTAATTAATTTATTATTATTTCACCGAAGCTAGCGCTCATTCAGCACATTCTTATTATGTTGGAACTTAATCCACCTGCAGGGTTTAGCATAACATTCCGGTGACATCATCAAAGTAACGCACATGGTGACCGTAAATATCCTAAGAGCATATCCTATGTATAGTAATATTACCCAAAATAGTAGGAATATTAATCAAGCGAACTGAACCTCACCCAAGTGAATCAAAGTAATATGTACCATATACATCTGTCTGTTTAATATCATACGGCTTAAGAGAACGCAGTAATTAACCGAGGCCTAGTTCATTTACGATGATCAGTATAAAATGAACTTCTCTTCTCTGGTATCCTGTTCAATACATAAATGTACTAGTGCAACTAATCAGTCAAAACAAACTGTACAGTTGACATTATAACTGTTTGGATGGGGTGTTCATTTCTATCTAGGCTGTGAACCAATATTCGTGTTTCGCAAGTGACTGATTGAGTGATCTTCGGTTCGCCCGATGACGACCCACTCTATCTAAGTGCAAAACAACAAAACGTAGAACTTGTTTAATCTAACATGATTCTCATTCGTAAAGAGCAAAAGTGCAATAACATGCAAAGCCAAACTTTCAGTATATAACACTAACACGACTGCCCTCTCCTCAAGAAGGGCGATAAAATTAAATTGTTTTCATTAGTCGTTGAAACATGTTTAGCGATGTTATCTACCAGAACCTAGTGCGTAGATACAGGAGTTACTGATCATGTCTGCAATAATTTGTAGGGGTTCCAAATAATCAAGTGGCTTTGGGAAGGAAAGGTTACCATCTACTTGGGCGATGCTAGTAAAGCACCAGTAGTTGCAGTGGGAGACGTCTACTTAGATTTTGGTTTAGATAGGATTTTGATTTTGCAAGATTGTCTTTATGTTCCTAGCTTTAGAAAGAATTTAATTTCAGTTTCTAAGTTATTTATGAATGGTTTTTCTGCTACTTTTGATAATAAAGTTGTTATTCGTTTTGGCAAAAAGTTCATATGTGATGGTCCATTAGTAGAAAATGTATATTTTAGAACCAAAGTCTTACCCACTGCAACATAAACAATTACTTAATTCATCATTTAATCTGAATAAGAGGAAGGAACCTTCAAAAATGAACAAAACATATCTTTGGCATCTAAGGCTTGGTCATATAAACCTTAGGAGGATTTAAAGGTTGGTTGCAGACGGGCCCTTGGGGTCGTTGGAAGTCAAGGCCTTTCCAATTTGCGAGTCCTGCCTCGAAGGCAAAATGACTAAGTGGGTTTTTAAGGCAAAAGGGAATAGAGCCAAAAATTTGTTAGGGCTAGTTCATTCTGATTTATGTGGTCCTATGTATGTTCAAGAGAGAGGTGGTTTCGAGTACTTCATTACGTTTATCGATGAGTTCGTGGTCGTCCCGCACCCGACGTTACACACCATTACCCCACTCAACTGCCCCTCGTCTAGAAGCATCTTCATCACATTATCCACCGTCTTCGAGTGGCCCAACCTGATGTCCCGTTGCACCTTGTTCACGTCATAGGTTTCTTCATAGATCCTCCGCCACCGCTGGAACCCGTCGTTGTTGAAGTACTCTCTAACCACCTCCTTGTCCCCCCTGCCGACCTCATCCGCCTGTAGCTGGCGGCGCCTCTCTGGGTTGGCGAGGGAGAGCGCAGCGGCGAGGCGACGACGGACCCACCGTCGATGACGACGATAGCTGCACTGTCTAGGGTTCCGGAGACTAAGGTCAAGTTTGTGGTGGCGGCGAGAGGGGGAATGGCGGCTGCCGTGAAATAGGGGGCCCGGCGACTGTGATGCTGGTGGGTGCAAGGGAGAGGGAATTGAATTAGAGAATGCAAATGCTAGAGAATACCATTTTGCTATGGTTGCTGGTTCCTTTTGCTTTTCTTGGCCGCCGTGAACCGTGGGATTTTGGGAGTTGGAGAAATAGAAAAGAAGATTTTTAAGCTTGCTTTTCATGTGGATGGATGGTGGTATTAGTTTAGAGGTGATAATGTAATCCGGAAGGAGGATAGGATAAGCCAATGGTGTCTCTACTTTGGTCCCCTCGCTCCCTCTTTTGATTTTTTCCTTGTTTCTCATTCTACTTACTTATACTTTGAGTGAGAGAACCGGAATAGAACAACAGGTTTTATCATGAACCAATCACTCGCACGGTCTAGTTCAAGACCAAAAAACCGCGAGCTATGTTGTCTTGTCTATCACGCTCGCACCTCTTAGTCGCCAATAAATTTCATGAACAATATATTTGCCAAAATTTTGTGTCACTGAAATGTAATTATCCACAATATAAAAGTTGTTGAACTTTGAATGTGTTTGTCCAAAACCCTATATATTAATAGGTAGTATAATTTTGTTTTACGTATAGCATTTTTACGTGCCTCAACTTTGATTAGTATCACGATTTCTTTTGTTCGAGTTTGTTGATTTCAAGATTCTTTAAGATTCATTTTGCATCATTCATTGTCATTCTCCGAAAAGAATACATACATATACATTCGATAAATGTAAGATGAAATTGTGCACTTTTCTAATGATGGGAAAGCACGAGCACTCATGATACTCCAAGGGCAACCGTTGTTGTACATGGGGAGAATTCATCAAAAGTTGTCGGCACCGACTTCAAGATGTGGTAACAAAATATGCTATATTAGTTTACAACGCTTTTCCCTTTTGTTTTCTCATGGAAGACCATTCGGTCATTCCAAGAAGGACATCAATACGCGTAGTGAATCGTGTCATTCCAACAAAATATGCTATATTAGTTTACATAGTCCGATGTTTGATATCAGAATGATTTACTGTATATAGTTTCTTAATTAAAGAACTAGATGACACACTCTACGACGTTTATATTCCGGTTAAGATGTCTAAAGAGTTTGTTGTGAATCGTGTATCAATTATCGAATTTTGTATCAAAATCCACACTAACTGCCTTGATTTTGACACGATTTTGTGCTTGAAAATGAGCGTTTTCTAATTTTATTAACATGATAATGAACGTCTATTACAAGGCCCTAATTTACATAAATACCAACACACTAAACACCTAACATAATTTAAACATTCAAATAATTAACTAATCTCGCCATAGCCAACCTTCTTGAAACTGCCGGACCTTCTGGCGCAACGGGTGTCGCAGCGCAACACCTTCGCTTCCCCTTAGCCTCTTCCACCACGACAGTACCTCGACCAGGTTCATGGCAGGATCCATCTTCCTCATCGCGGCGCGACGGCCTCGACAACGGCAGTCACGACGCGACCTCCTGACAAAATGCCATTTTTTGTTATTTAATTTGCGCACGTCGAGCCTGGTTGTACGCATTCTTCAGACATCGACTCTCATGCGCATCATTCTCATCCCTCTCAAGAGTGTCCTTGTCCTCAATGACAAAGTCTGGATATTGAACACGCCGCATTCTCTTCTGACAATCCTTACCAATTGATTAAGACCTCCCAACGAAAACGACTAAGTTTCTTAATCTTTCGATAATCCAATGCATGAGCTAGCCGTACAATCATTGTGCCTTCAAAATTCACCGCCGGTAATCATGTATATGCTTCATGACATTTACCCAAACTTTTCTTTAATTAGGATACATGAATAACCGAGTGAATTTGAGACTCCGCCAGTAAATCTAGTCGATAAGCAACCTCACCCACGCGTTCCACGATTTGATATGGGTTGTAGAAATGGCTACCCAGCTTAAATAGAGCCTTCTGAGAGATCGTATGTTGGAGATAAGGTCGGAGCTTCAAGTAAACCCAACTGCCCAGCTCAAACCGTTCTCTTGTCTTCCTTTATGATAGTACTCTTTCATCCAGTTGATCGACCCGTATTGGTTATCTTTTAGTTCTTGAATCATCAAATATTGTTCCACTAGCTCACAATCAACTTCTACATTCAAAGACTTTCTCAACGGATAACTAACAAATGTAGGCACCATCCATCTGTAAACCAACTCGAAAAGAGTGAACTTAGTCGAGGCATGATAGGCCTGTTATACCAAAACTCAGCCCACGTCAAAAAACCCTTTCATTTTCTGGGAAAATCATGGACATAGCATCTAAGGTATTGTTTAAGGATACGATTAATTACCTCAATTTGAGCGTCTGTTTGAGGATGATAAGCCGAACTCATTGCCAATTCAGTCCCATGTATTTTAAAGAACTCCTTCCAAAAATCACTCAAGAAGATTTGATCTTTATCTGGTACAATGGATCGTGGAACCCTGCGTAACTTCTCCACGTACTCCACAAATAATTTGGCTACCGAATTAGTCGTGTATGGATGAGTTAATGGAATAAAATGTGCATACTTGGTAAGACAATCCACGACCACCATAGTCCCGTTGAATCCATTAGATGTCAGTAGTCATTCAATGAAATCCATCGTGATATCCTATCATATCCGTTCGGGCATCGGTAATGGTTGTCACATGCAATTTCAATTTATAAGACAACGAAGAATTAATAAAGTTATGGGACGAACCGTTGTCGATTAACACTACTACATGTCGATCACGAACCTAAGCCGACATATTCATCGTCTTAGGTCCTTGAGTTCCCGCCATTGCACGGACCAATATCACAGGATCCTCTTCATGATAATCAATACAATTTTTCGATTCATCCTCCACTAGTTCATCTCCATCAGATCCAACACATCCAATTAAGAAAGATCGCCTTTGTTTGCACCTATGACCCGATGTGACTTATCGTCAAAATTGAAACACAAGCCTTTCTCTTGCCACCTTTGCATCTCATCCCAAGGTAAGCATTTAACCCATGAAGGAATAGTATTTACATTTTTGGTCGATGTCATGTCTCTGGTCCTTTGCACATTGATGGTAATAGGTGTTGGTTGTCTCATCTCCGGTCGGTTGACCTTGCGCATTTGTCGTCAGATGATCGTCACGTATATGGGCGGCCTCTATTGCTACACACATGGTTCTTGGTTTCTCTAGATGTACCTCAATAGCTAAATGGTGCTTCAAACCACCAATGAATGTGCCAGCAAGTGCTCCCTCCGGCCAATCATGAACTCGACTCGTGATTCTTTCGAACTCTTTTTGTTAAATATGCTGTAAAAGCTTGGCTTTCAAATATAAACAATTCATTTTGATCTGGCAATCGTGTTTTAGTCAAAGTATTTATGTTTGCAGTTAATTCATTTATGCAATCATAACTCCATTATTTTACATTGTAGATAATATGGTTCGTCGTGTCGAACAGTAAGGTCATATTATCGGTTCCTTGTAAAATATAAATTAATTATTCACAGTTTAGACAGACAGTGAGACCCCTGTTGGATAAAGACTGTAGTGTAGTCTTAATTCAGTTGATGTTTGACTGATGGGTTACACTAGTACTTATGATAAGTATTGAACCGACCGCGGAAGGATAAGATTATAAGGTTTACTGATAGTTGTTTAATCTAGACCTTTAGTAGTTGATGCGTACTCTTAAGTTGTAAGATAATATAAAATGGGCATATATATTCATTACTTATTTATTTGATTTAGCAAGGGTGATTCCTATTCCGTTAGGATGACATACTCGCTAATTTGGTAAGTAAGAGTTTTTATATGATGTGCTGTTATAAATTATTTACATTCACTGTGTAACGCCCCGTTATTTTTTAGTGAAAATTACCATTTTATTTTTCTAAAAATCAGAGTTAATTTTTTCAAAAATCAATTTAAAGATTTATTTAACGGGCACTACTTGAAATTTCACATAATATAGTTTAAGTCCACACTAGGACCACGGGTACATCCAACCCAAACATATGTATCTCATGCCATACAACACATAGTTTCAACATGTTACAACAATTGTGAAATCATATGAAATAACCAATTCATATCCAGATTCAAATCCAAAGCATGCATAATAATCTAAATCCCAAATATTAATCCAGTTCTGAAGATTCCCAAACAAGAATTAAAATCCCAAATAACATTGGTTCGTCTCCCAACGAGAAATAAACAAAGTCTAACATGATATATTCAAATAATAATAATCAAGCGGAAGCAGGTAAATATCAGTTCAACACGTATAATGACCCCACCTTGTTCGTCTTTCGCCACGGCCACCTGCTCAACCTGAAAGATGGTTAATAGTGGGGGTGAGCAACTTAGCTCACCATACCATGCAGTATAATCAATATAAAGACTTAAGATTATGATCGCAGTATGTAAGCAAATCGACTAGTCTATAATCCCTAAACACAACCACGCTCATGTGATCACACCTCTATCTTATCAATCCACACGAGAAAAGATAGGAACAAGCCGTCCACCCCAGGACTAGAGCCACCCACACCAGGACTGCGCTCTCCAAAGGCTAGAGTTAGGCCTCATAGACTACCTGTTCACATGCATACCTAGATCATCAAGCCAAGCATTTATAGAAATTAACATACATGGTATTTAAATCAACTCCCACCTGTTCAGTTTGGCAGATTTATCACAATTTCTGATGTAGGTTGGCTTAGGCTCGACTCCTCAATTACCTACAATTTATGCAAGATAATATTTCAAAAATACTTATCTTGAAATTTAGGAATTCAAACGAGAATTCATACTAATTTGGAACCCTCGGATTTTTAAGAAATAATTTGAAAAATTATTTATAATGGCCAAAAATGGATTCTACGCGAAAAATGAGGTCAAAGGGTCAAAAATCGGTCAATTGGGTTCAAACGGACCGGGTCGAGTGCGATTTGGTGGTGCAGCTGGGCACGGACTGGAGCCTCTGGGCACATGCTGGCTCGGGCAAACTCGGACCGAGGCCAACCTGGACTCTGGCGGGTGCTGCAGACATGGACCGAGCTCACCTGGGCACTGCCAGCGTGCGACTGGGGCCACTGGGTGTGAGTGCGGGTGCGCAGAACACGGCCCTGGGTCGCTGGAGTGTGCAGGGGCACGGTGCAAGGGCACTGGGCACATGTACGGGACCGTCGGGTCTTGTCAGGCACGGTGCGAGGTCGCTTGGCACGTCACTTGGTCGCTGGGAGCTGCTAGATACCAGTGTTGGGTTCTATGAGGAACGTCAACGACATGCACAGTATTGAACTT